TATCTGCCTCCCGAGTTTCAAAGGAATCTTTGCAGAATTGCTCAAGGCAGCAAAAATGAAGAACAACCAGATGAAGTTAAAGAAGGAGCTCCTGCTGCTTGACAAGACTTACATGTCTCGATGCTTTGAATTTAGGCCTCCTCTGAGGAAAATGGCAATAAAAGCCTCATTTGCTGATGAGTGAGGTTCTTCCCTCTGCGTGCTGTTTACATACAGCAGTCATGCTCAATAATGAAGAAATCTGGCTTCTCCAAGGCAGCACGTGATCAGGATGTGATCCCAAGGCAGAAACCTCTGTGCCCCTCTGTCAGAGGAGAGTGTGTCTGTGCAATCAGGATGCAAACATTGGCTGAGGAACACTAATGAACCAGGAAAGGGAGCGAGTGCCCCCAGAGCATGGCTTGGTGCAAGGTGTGCTCTGCAGTGCTGGCCAGCTCAGACTGGGGGAAGAGGCAGGCACACAGTGTTTGCCAGTGCTCCGAGGTGCTGCAGTGCCACCAGCTCCCTTCCAAGATGTGATGTGGTGTTGATCACTGCAGTGTAGGGGTTTGGAAGTGCCTGCATGCACAGCCCAGCTGTGCAGAGCCTCCACCAGAGACCAGAGCGCTGCTCTGCCTCCCTGGTCTCCTGAGCTGGGGTGAAGGGAGGCAGGCACAGACTCTTTGGGAGCACCCAGCTCACCAAAGCAGTTGTAAAACCGTGGTAACAGCTACAATCAGACTTACCTAAAAGCAGGGATGTTGTTGGAGGAGTTTGCTTTTTGAGTGGCTTAAAAACATTGCTCTTAAATGCCTGTGCTCCGCTGATTATTTTTCAGTCTTCCTGTGTCATAGGAATTCCTCTGCCCTTGTAGGCAAAACAGTTCTGGTCCTCTTTGCTGAAACCTGTTTTTGTAATCGTCAGGGCAGCTGTGTTGTTTTAGCTGGTGCCTGTGCAGGGAGGGACTGGGGAGGACATGGCCAAAGGCTCCCCCAGCAATGCTGTGACCACAGGTGGGGCCGAGTCGCTCACCCCTGGTGTTCAGTGGAGGGTCAGTGGTGAGTGGAGGCTCTGGGGCTCTGCCTCCCCCCTGGGCTGCCAAGAGCCTGCCCCAGGCTTGCAGCAGCATTTCCATCACAGTCCTAAACTGCTCTTGCAGTCTCAGATAGCCCTGCATAGGGATAGCATCTTTCCCAAGTGGAGGAGGAGGCAGCTTGTGGGTAGGAGGGGTTGTCACAACAGAGTTGCTTGAGGCAAATTAAGGCAACTGTAGGTAAGAAGGCAACAGGGAACAGCTGAAATGAATTAAAAGGCCATGTGATGTTCCAATTCACATGCAGGAACGCCCCTTAGGTCCATATCTATCTTGATTTCTGCAAGAGCTTGCATGGGTAAACAAGAGGTAATGTCTCCTCTTTAGCCTAGTGTGGTGCTGCAACTAAACAATACTCCTTCCTCTGGGTCTTACCATGTGTCCTGGCTTATCTTGTTTGGGAGACAGCTTTGCCTTCCCCCAGGTGCTTGGGAAGCCCTTGGTGCCAGTGGGCTTGGCTGGAGGGATGCTCCTTCTTCCCCAGTTCAAGTCAAACCTGCTCCTGAGTAAGGATGGCCATTCCCCAGGGCAAAGAGGTTTAGGACAGTGGTTATTCCTTCAAAAAGCCTTGCAGATTAATTGTTATTCCTTGCATGACTGGCCTTTGGCCAACATGCCTGGTGATTTTTCCATTGGGCTTCTTCATGAGGCAAAGGTCTCTCGGTGATGAGTGTGCTTTGTAAGAGTAACTGGTAGAAAATACCAGTTTGCTATGGATTTGTTTGCTATCTTTCCTATGGCCAGTGATCCGTAATTACCCTGAGTTCTGCTATATTTAAACAAATTTAACAGCTTTCTGATTTAAAAGTTCCCAAATGATGATTAGGCACAATGGTTGGGTTTGGAGGATGTCTGTGGAGGAGCAAAGACAACTTTCGTTAGAAGAGTCCAACTGCAGAGGCACAGCCAAACCTCCCTGCTCACCAGGGGCTCTTGCAGGTCAGTTTGGAGAGGGGAGGAAGCCTCCACATTTCCCCATCAGCAAACCAATTGCATTGTCATTAAATAAATGGTAGAAATACTCTTCTTCCCCCGTTGCATTGCAGCGCTGAGCTTTCCAGTGCTAGAGAAAATCACATGATGAAACAAGGAAAAACAGTTTGGAAAAGTTTTATTTTAAAAGTAGATGTGCTGTAAAAAA